ATGTCAACCCACGACTTAACACTGGCGACGAGGATGGGATGGATGGACATCAGAGCACAGCCAGATGCGGCCAGCCTCTGAACTGAGCTGAATCACTGAGCTGAATCACAGAGCGAAATCACTGAGCGAAATCACTGGGCAGAACCAATTCAGAGCTGACTGTTCTGGCTAGAGCACTGTGTTCCATCCATCGCCCTTCACGCCGGCATCGGAATCATGGCTTCACTTGTGCCTCTACCGCCGTTTGCGCCAGCCTCTGAATCGTGGGACTCCTACCTCGCTCGGTTCGACTGCTACCTCCAAGCCAATGAGCTGACAGCAGTATCAAAGGATCGGAAGCGGGGCCTATTCCTCAGCCTCTGTGGGCCTGAGGTGTTTGAGACGGCCCGAGCGTTGGTTGCGCCTGAAGCAGTCCAGGCAACACCATGGGACACGATCCAAGAGAAGCTCCGCAACCACTACGCACCAAAGCCGTCCAAGATTGCTGCCCGCCATGCGTTCTACCACCGGAACCAGGCAGAGGGGGAGTCAATCAACAACTACACCACCGCCCTGCGACAGGCTGCAATGCACTGTGAGTTCCGAGACTTAGACGATGCCCTGATGGATCGAATCGTCTGCGGGGTCCGGGACATCCATCTGCAACGGCGCCTCCTAGCCAAGCCAGACCTCACGCTACAGAAAGCCATTGAGGAGGCTGTGACCTCAGAAGCTGCTGAACGCTCCGCCCAGGAGATCCGCAAGTCCAGCAGCCCGCGTCTTGCTAGGGAGCCAGTTCCAGTGCATCATGAAGAGGCCAGCAGTGATGACGATGACGTGCACCAGACAAAGCGGGAGCGCAGGAAGTTCCAACAGAAGTCCAAGGGCCAACCGGAATGTGCTGGCTGCGGAGGCAACCATTCCCGTGCCAAGTGTCGATTCAGAGACGCCATCTGTAGGAAGTGTTCCAGAAGGGGCCACATCGCTAAGGTCTGCCGATCAGCTCCGTCTGACACCCCCCTTCATCGACTCGCAAGTCCAAGTCTTCACTCCAGTCTGCCAAGGAAAGTTGTTTCGCTCTCACCAACTGCCGCTGCCCGTCTGGAACCACGATTGGCCAAACCGACTCGCCTACGCGACGCAAGCTGAACGTCACGGTGCTCATTGAAGGAGCTCCATGTGACATGGAGATCGACACCGGGTCTGCCCTGTCCATCGTGTCATGGAGCACCATCAAAAGACTGGTACCCAGAGTGTCCAAAAGGCAACTCGACTCTCACCGCGTACACCTGAGAGACTACCAGGGAAACGACATTCCCGTGGTAGGCGTTGGCCGGTTCCGGATCGCTTTCAAGGATTTTTCGGGCCTGCTCCGGTTGGTGGTGGTCGAAGGTCAGCGGCCAAGCCTCCTAGGGCTAGACTGGTTTGATGCCCTCGGCCTGGAAGTCACCGGCATCAACTGCATCTCTAACGCAGAGACTGAGGGTCTGGTCAAAGACTTTGCCGAGGTTTTTGACGGCACCTTGGGCCAATATACAGGTACGCCCATCTCCTTTAGCCTTGATCCACAAGTCGCCCCCATCAAGCTAAAGCCACGCCGGGTTCCCTTTGCTCTCAAGGCTAAGGTGGACGAACAACTGGACAAACTGATCGCCCAAGGAGTTTTGGAGCCGGTTGATCACGCAAAGTGGGAAACCCCCATCGTCACGCCTGTCAAGCCAGATGGGTCGGTGAGAATCTGCGCTGACTACAAGTGCACGATCAACAAGGCACTTCAGCAGCACGCTTATCCGGTTCCTGTTGTCCAACACCTGCTGCATTCCCTGGGTGAGGGTAAGGTCTTCGCTAAGCTGGACCTTGCCCAAGCCTATCAACAACTGCCAGTCGATGATGCCACTGCTGAAGCCCAGACGATCGTCACCCACCGGGGGGCTTTCCGTTGCCGCCGGTTGCAGTTCGGGGTGAGTGTGGCTCCTGGCATCTTCCAAAGCCTTATGGAGCGTCTCCTGCAAGGGCTTCCGGGCGTGGTACCATATTTTGATGACGTCTTGGTGTCTGCAGACTCACACCAGCAGCTGTTCGAGCGCCTCCGTGCCGTGCTGACCAGGTTCCAGGAGGCCGGGCTCAAGGTAAAGAGGGAGAAGTGCCAGATCGCCGTTCCACAGGTAGAGTTCCTGGGCTATCTTATCGATGCCTCCGGTCTTCATCCAACCACATCCAAGATCCGCGCTATCCAGCAGGCCCCCACCCCAAAGAACAAAACGGAGTTGCAGGCATTCCTGGGGCTGCTGAACTTTTATAACATGTTCCTGCCCCACAAAGCCACAGTGGCTGAGCCTCTTCACCGACTCCTTAGCACTAAGACGCCTTGGGCCTGGGGTCATCGGGAGACGGCGGCCTTCAACGCGGTCAAGGCTCTCCTTTCTTCAGACAGTGTGCTGGTACAGTACAGTGAATCCAGGCCGCTGGTCCTTGCCTGCGACGCCTCACCTTTTGGCATCGGTGCTGTCCTTAGTCACCGTTTTCCAGATGGAAGAGAAGCACCGCTCGCCTACTTTTCTTGGACACTACCGAGGTGCCCCCAACTGCGCTTGCGGCTCCAGAAGAGACACGTACAGATGGCGAGGCCCCACCTACACCTCCCTCGCAAACTGCCAGCGTGGAGCCGAACCAAGCCGTTTCAGAACAGACTCAGACCACTCCACTTGCGGAGGCTCCACCCACAGCAGCGGATCCAGGGGAGTTGGTTCCAACGCCACCTAGGGTCGCACCACAGCCTCAGCGAGAACTGTGTGGCCCTCCGGACTTGGCTACCAGTCCCCGGCGGTCTGGCAGAGTTTCCAAGCGCCCAACTTATTTAAAGGACTATGTTGTTGGACAGGTATCACTGTTGGTCTAAGTATGGGAAATGTAACCGATATGCTTTTGTGCTTAATGGAACCATTACGCGTAGTGCTGTATATAAGGAAACCATTACGATTGTAACTAACGCCTTATCTCGGTGGGGAGGGGTGTTATGTAGTGTAGTTTCACCCTGGGCCAACAGGGGGATACTGTATATAGTTTTCACTCAGGTCTGTAGATAGTTTTCACTCAGGTCCGCGGCAGTTATTTTAGGCGGGAACTCTGGGCTGTTGTGGTTACAATGTTGACAGCCGGCTGCCTATAAATACAGGCCGGCTGAGCTGTTCGCAGTCTGTTGTATTCCAGCTTACCATAATAAAGAGCTACTTGAAGAAATCGCTGTGCCGGCTGCTATGTCAACCCACGACTTAACACCCACCTCTCCAACAAAAGGGAATACTATTTTTGTCAAATTTTCTGCAGTTTCTCCACTCTTTTCAGACTCGTCTTTGGCCCAAAGTTGAGCCCAAACAGCCTTCTCTATGCCACGTTCCCTTTCCACATGCAACATGCTTTGATGAGGGAATCGATTCAAGCTCATAATTGCCCATCTGAAATGGAATAGTGCCCCTCAATGTTCCACCACATGCATTTCCTGAACAAATACACCAGCTCTTTGCCAATCCCCACCAAATATGCAGTGTCTGATTTCTGAAAAGGCCTACGTTAACCCATTGTTTCCATACTTAACATACACTGGTGGCACTCGTGGCATTCAGACAGAGCTGATATTGAAATGTGACTGCTTACATGCAATAGTTGGTTTTTACGCTAAAGTGGAAGAGCGAAATTCGAAGGCAAGCCAATGGCTAGACTCGTTTCCTTTTTAACAGCAGAGCTGTTGCTGCAGACTGCTCACGCTGTACCCATTTTTGCATTGAGAAGTTCTCCTGGGCCCACCTCCAAGCTAGCTGTGACTGCAATATCGGCTCAGGCCCATTTGGCACAGAAGTGGCATTGCCGAGAAGATAAATCTGGTCCCTGTTTTTCACTGTATTTTTCATTCTCTCCTTGGACTGTTCTCCATGCTACCCGTGTCCTCAACCAATTGCAGCAACGTCAGGCCTGGTAGAAGCCCCCCTCCCCAAAGTGGCCAGAGAGAGCATGTTTATCTCTGATGTGCCAACATGTCCCTCTGTTGATGGCAATGAGAGGCCACCCCCTTCCATTTCCAAGGTGGCGTCGCCCTAGGAATGGCTCCAGCTGGCCAGCAATTGGGGAATGTGTGGTTGAGCTGTAGTCAAGGATACCTGAGACGTTTACCTCCCACTGGGGGAGCCGACAATGAAGACCGTTTTTTTTTAAAAGAGAGGCAGATCATCAAGCGGAGTCGAGGCACCTCGCCAGTTTCTAATCTAAGTGACAGCATGATGCTGAGATCATAATCTGGCCCAAAGAGTGCTGAGGAGGGGAGAAGAGAAGAAAAGAGGCAGGTCAGAGGAGAAGGTGAAAACAACTTCAAGCAGAAACGTCAAAGAATGAGAGAAGAGACATAATTAATCATGTTCCTACTACAGGCTTGATGACTCTGCAGAGGAAAATGCAAAAGTAATCGTCTCCCAATGGAGGACTAAAGATGCTGCGCTTATAATATCTCCGATATCTTTGATACGTAGGCACATACCCACACCGTAAGAGCATTGCCTGGCTGCTCTTCTGGCATCCAGTTCTCGGTGCCACAATTTAAGGAGGATGTTGAGAAGCTGGAACATGGTGCAGAGGAGGATGACCAAGATGATCGGGGGACTGGAAGCCAAGCCTTATGAGGAGTGGTTGAAGGAGCTGGGTATGTTTAGCCTGGGAAAGAGGAGGCTGAAAGGAGGTATGAGAACCATCCTCAAATAGCTCAAGGACTGTCACATGGAGGCAAGAACAAGCTTGCATTCTCCTGCTCTGGAGAGTAGAACTCAAACCAGTGGCTTTGTGCTGGTCCCAGGGGGGATAAGGTACTATTACCATAGCCCAAGATCAGTCCAGAGTCTCTAGCAGGGTAGACGATCACTAGATAAGACGCGAGGTCCGAGACAGGGAGCTGGGCGGGGTAACAGGAACGCTGGTAGGGCAGAAGCAGGAATCCAGGCGAGGAACAGGAACACCGGATAGTCAGGAACAGGAAGCCGGGCGAGGAACAGGCACACTGGGAGTGCAGATCAAGGACTGGGTAAGCAGGTACTCCACAACGACGTTGCTCCCGCAACCTGGGACCGGGCTGCCTGACCTTTATCTTCTTCTAAGGCCAGGGGCGGTCCCGGCCCCCTCCTGAGGATCTAGCACAGGTGCAGGCTCCTCAGAATCAAGGCCCTGCCCCAGTTCAGCCGGCCCTGAAGGCGGGGACTCCTGTGCAGGCTGGGATTCCTCCGGTTCACTCTCTGAATCGGATTCCCAGGCCATCACAAGAGTATTGTCTGGGAGCACATGAGGCCATATCTTAAGCCAGGTCAACGCCTGGATGGGTGACTGTCTTGGGAGCCATGTGCTTGCCACCTTGGGTTCCATGATGGAAGAAATTAATAGTGAAATATAACAATGTCTGCCATAGCTTAATTTAAACTGGGCTTCACAAGGGTCCAATGTACCTTTTAAAATTAATACATGTGCCTTGAAGCTTGTACCAAAGGCTCCTCCTTCAGGATGTCTCCACCGCATCTCCATGTGGTTTCTAATGCCTTAACACAGAAGTTCTCGAGCCATGAGACACGGGCCATTTGTAGCCCACAAGCACCACTCAGTTGCCTTGCAACTGAGGGGGTGGAACAACTGAGAATCTGGTTTTGGCCCTGCCCCCCGACAGTGGAGGTTGATAGATCTCCCCCTGGTCAGGACTGCCTCAAACAGGCCGACAAAGCCAAGGGCCGATGACTTTCCTAACACCAATGCTGGTGCACTCCTGCTAATTCTTCCTGGACATTGCCTAGCTAAAAGGGTCCTTCCTCTTCAGTAATCTGACACGGGGTCTGTGATTTGCATAGCGTGGCCCTGTTTTTGACAACGGTGGTGGCAATGAAGGAAGATGTCTATTAAGTGGTCTTCTGAGACCCCTTAGGTGGTCCAGGAGGGGGGATTAAGAACTGCTCCCTGAACACATCGAAATGTTTCGATCAGGAGGGTATCAGGCATGCTTAACCATGCAGACTGTTATTCTGATGACTTTTATTATTATTATTATTAGGCTTTCTTCCAGGATGCTTTTTATTATGTTTTTATTATTGCTGTGTGTAATGTGTTTTTAATGTTGGATCCTGCCCTGGGATCTTTTGATAAAGGGCAGTGTATAAATGGAATAATAATAATAATAATAATAATAATAATAATAATAATAATTGAACAAAAAATCCAGCAGGTTAGGTATCATGGGAAATGATGGGAGGGTAAGGCAGACTGCAGAGAATGAGAATGACACACCTAGTTGGTTGTTTGCCTGCTTCCAGGACATTTTAGCGTTTTAATGTTTTGCCTAAGGTGCCAGAGACCTAAAGCTGTTACTTGACTTTTCCCCTCAAACAAATGTGCGCAGATTTTACACACACACACACACACACACACACACACGTGTCGAACTCCTATGATGAGAACTTCCAGGCTTCCCCCTGGCCTTTGAGGACTTTGTATCAGGCTCCCCGCAATAGTGAATATTTACTTAAGTGCAGTAGTATGGGCACGAAGTGACTAATTACTGCAGTTTTTCCTTTAAGCCTATTCTAGTCGAAAGGCAGTAGGCTTTGTTCTGGTTAGAAAATACAAATTAGCTCCCCAGCTAATTTGTTGTCTGAAAAATATAAAGTTCATTCTTCTAACTTGCAGCAGTAATAGCTCATGCACATTTTATGTCTCTGCTGAAGATCAAGGTCTCGAAGGAGTACTTGAAAAAATAAAATATTTGTCTTTGTTTTAATGCTTTAAAAGACTTCTTTAAAACACACACATGCATTCCGAGCTAACTGTTGTAAAAATAGATTTTATTTTTCCCCCGAAGGAAAATTATTCTTTTCTAGGGCAAAAACGGCATTTCTTCTTTTTCTAAAAAAAAAAGTGCAAAGCCCAGAGGAAGCACATTGCTGTAGCAGAGACCCACCTTTTACGATGTAAAGAGCCCTAATGGAAAAGCATTCTGCAAAGTCATTCCCTAATCAGTTCTTCTTTGTGCGTCCTAGTGCTGATCTCTCACAAGGAAGACAAACGCCTTATCTGGGGTTGAGGAGTCCTGGCTTACATCTAGCCCACAATGCCTACCATGATCTCTTGTCCTTTTGCAAACAATATTCACCCGTTTCTGTGAGACATCGATGTCAACATATTTTTTATGTGTTAAATGGAGTCCCACTTTTTGTGTCCCAACAGTGGCAGCAGTACAGACACTGCATGGAGTGATGGAAATGGGGTAAAAATAGGGAAGGGTATTTATTTGCTGATCGCCGAAGAATTGATGCTTTTGAATGATGGTGCTGGAGGAGACTCTTGAGAGTCCCATGGACTGCAAGAAGATCAAACCTATCCATTCTGAAGGAAATTAGCCCTGAGTGCTCACTGGAAGGACAGATCCTGAAGCTGAGGCTCCAATACTTTGGCCACCTCATGAGAAGAGACGACTCCCCAGAAAAGACCCTGATGTTGGGAAAGATGGAGGGCACAAGGAGAAGGGGACGACAGAGGACGAGATGGTTGGATAGTGTTCTCGAAGCTACCAGCATGAGTTTGACCAAACTGCGAGAGGCAGTGGAAGACAAGAGTGCCTGGCGTGCTCTGGTCCATGGGGTCATGAAGAGTCGGACACGACTAAACAACAACAACAATTTATTTGCTGCAATATAATGGGCACCGCCCCATAACCCCCCCCCCCCGACTATTTTCTTTTAACTTGTAATAAGTCTCATAATATTTTTTAATGCTGATGTTTTTCGAATGGTTCTGAGCCTGCCAGCTATCCTGGTCAGCAAAATCGCCCGAGGAAAGCTTATGGTCCATTCTGGGACTTGATCACTAAAATATAACCTAAAATTGTCATTTAAAACCTTACTCATTTTGGTAGTACAGCTTGTTCCCTAAGTTTTATGGCAGTTGCACAGAATTTGGCCACCCTTAATGTGATCTCTAGATCCTTGTCCTCTACCAGGAGTTTTAGAAATTGAAGTTTGGACCCATTTGGAGATTTTTGTATAACAGGAGTGATAAATACCAAATGTCTATCCCCGTAGAAACGGCAGCGTAACAAGACACGAGAGACAATTTCTACTTCCATCAAGTCGCAGGGGCAGACTCGTTCCACATATGGTTTACCCTCAAATCTGCCCTGCAATAGGGCAAAGTCAGTAATAAATGTTGGAAATGTAAAGAAAAAGAGGGAACATTTTATCACATGTGGTGGGAATGTAAAAAGGGGAAATGCTTCTGGGAGATGATATATAATGAGTTGAAAAAAATGTTGAAATATACATTTATAAAGAAGCCAGAAGCATTTTTACTGGTATGGTTGGGAGTGATATAAATAGAAAAGAATGTAAGCTCTTTTTATATGCAATAACAGCAGCAAGAATATTATTGGCCCAAAAATGGAAGCAAGAAGAATTACCGACAATTGAAGAATGCAGGATGAAGTTAATGGACTATGCAGAACTGGATAAACTAACAGGAAGAATTCGAAACCGGCGGGACCAGAAACTCACGGAAGACTGAAGTAAATTTACAGACTATTTGAAAAGCATTTGTGAAGATCAGATGACGTTTGTAGGTTTGCAAGAACTTCTGTGAGGAGTATTGTTGGAAGTATTGCAAAAACAGATAAGGGGAAGTATAATTTGTTAAGAGACTTAAAGGCAATATAAAGTTAAGAAATGTATAAGAAGTGGATAAAACGGTGGATTATCAGAGGTGCTGATGGAAGTCTAAAAAGATTGTATAAGTGATAAGTTTCGTGGTACACTTTATAATGTATACGTTAAAATCAAGAAAAATTATTATATATATAAAAAAGCAATAAGGCAGATGGCAGCACGTTGAAGGACAAAAGCCAGCCCATCTTCCTCCCTGAGCTCGGCAGCACGGGGGGGGGGGGGGCAACAAGCAGGGACATTCTGGGATCCAATTCTGGAGGGTATGCACTCTCTCTATTGCTCTCCCTCTCTCCCTCCACAACTCCTAGCAGAGCTCTTCTTATCTTCTTCTGAAGGTACATAACGTTCGTCTCTTTGACTCTGAGTGTCCAGGACAGAGATCTTTCTTAACACGGCTGGCATCATTAACTTAGATGTGGGTAAATTCCCCCCCCCCCCATCATGGCCCTTTAATAAATCAACATATGTGAGCCATTTTCCTTTTTTTCCAAGTGGTTTGAGCAGTAATGCTTCATGTGGTGAAAGCCACCACGGGGTCTTTTGTTCCAATAAGTCTTTGTATTTCTCCCATACTCTCATTAGTGATTTCCTGATTATATGGTTGTAAAAATTTCTATGAACCTTTCCTTTCCCGTACCATAGATATGTGTGCCAGCCAAATCTGTTGTCATGTCCTTCTAGCTCTAATGCCTCTTGCTTATCCAATCTCATCCAGTCCCTGATCCATACCAAACAAGCAGATTCATAATACAATTTAAGGTCTGGGAGGGCAAACCCACCTCTATCTTTTACGTCTGTAAGTATTTTATGTTTTATCCTTGGCCTTTTGCCCCTCCCCCCCCCACAATAAATTTTGAAATCTCTTTCTGCCATTTTTTAAAACATTCATCTTTCAGGATGACTGGTATTGATTAGATGTGGGTAAAATTAACACAACAGCACATTCTGACAACCAGAGGATTTTGGAACTAAAAACTGTTGGGAATGGGATTGCATGGAAGGCCAAACAGAGTGTCTGCTTCATTTTCTAATTATATTCAGATTGTTCTTTTTAAGGAAACAGCCAACAGGAAAATGAGATTTCTTTAATTTTTTTATTTTAATATTGACTAATTTAAGCTAGAGGACAATAACATCAAATTAAATTTGAGAGCATCTATAGTGACGATGCATTGTGTGGGAATAATTGTATACTTCATAACAGAGCAGTAGCTGTCATGGAAAGCCTTTCAATAAACAAATTAAAAAAGGAATGCTTGAGATAATTCTAATACCAATAGAAATCACAACCTCTTCAAGTAACAGGAAAAAGATGCATTTCTGTGCCACTGCC